CACCCAGCCTGGGACAGGTGTCTCAGGTGTCTTAGGAGGCAGATGTCCCAGTAGAGAAGGGACTTACATTTCCAGAGCATGGGATCTGGAATTAACCATCCTGAATTCCATGTCCGGCTTAGACTGCAGGCTACTGTAGTTTCCCCCTGGGCCTTAGTCTTTTGGATTGGCTCTGAGGACACTGATGCTACAGGGCTGTTGGGGACATTTAGTGGCCCATTTATAGGAGCTGCGCAGCTAGCTCTGCAGTCTCAGGCAATGGGAACATCTGTTGTGCACTTGGTGGATCACTCACTGAGCTGACCTGCACGGGAGCCTTCAACACACCATCCTGAGCGACAAGGGGCATTCACTCAGCATGTGTTTGCTGAGCGCCCACCATGAGTTAGGTGAGTTCTCAGTGCTGGAGCCCAGAGGCAGCTTTCTAGGGTTCCCTTCCAGTGGGAAAGACAGACAGATGAATAGACAGACACCAAACTGGAAAGCAGACACACTGCCAGGTGGTGGTAACACATCAGAGGGACCAAAAGAGTGTGCAGGGAGTAGACTGTGATGGTGCAGGTAAGTGGGGGGATGGGGTATGGAGGAGGTGCAGGGGAGATATGAGGACTGTCTCTGGGCAGAGGCTCTGGGCATGCACCTGGCAGAAGGAAGGGAGCCAGCCCTACAGGCTTGGGAGAGGCACTTGTTGGGTTGGGAGCAGCAGGTGCTGAGGCCCCTGGACTCCGTCAGGGAGGCCACTGTGCTGGGTGAGCAGGTGAAGAGGATTTTGATTCCATTAGCTGGTTTTGATTTGTTTTAAAAGGGTCACTCTACTGTGAGGGACAAAGGATAGGGCAGGGAGACAGGCCTCGGTATGGGCAGAGGGGGATGGCCAACCAGCCAAGCATTCTTCTAAGATGGCTGGAACCAGTCCATTTGCATTCAAGCTCTGACCACTGACTGGTCCAGTGACCCAGGGCCTAATTGCTATGTGCCTCAGTTTCCTTGCCTATAGACATAAGAGGTGTGGGGTGTGGGACAATGGACATAGCAGGCAAGCTGTGCAGACATTTTAAATACTCCCTCCTGGTAGAAGGGGAGGAAGAAACACAGAAAAGTCACAAGACTCAGAGGCCCTGCCAGGAGATGATAAAACAGTGAAGGAGAGGCTCTTCTGTGGCGCTGACTATGAGGTGTGTGTGGAGGGGGGAGTGTGGACCCCAGGGAGCATTGTGAGCCACCACACATACCTGAGTGGCCTTTTAGTGACGCAGCTCCGAGTCACTCATGCTTCAGCTCTGCCTTCAGCACCCTCACCGCTCATACCCATAATGTACAAGTCTCAGTTTCCCCATCTGTGAGGTGAGGACAACTCCAACCCTGAGATCCTGATGAGCCAGCTGGTGTGTGTGTGGGGGGAGGGGGCACACTCTTGCATATCTTCCCCCAGATATGTGCCAATGGACAAGGATGGGGTGACCAACATGACCACTGACCCTTCCTCACCTGTCTCAGGACAGGCAGCTGCAGAGGTAGATAACGCTGAGCTTCAGGGCACCAGCAGCTCCCACAAGGTGGTTCTGGGGGCCAGGGCTGGAGAGGACCACACTCAGCCAGATCCTGCGCTGCGCCTGTGCACTGTTTGACCTGCTGCACTGTGACAGCAGACTCACAGAGCATCTGCTGTGAGCCACAGGCAGCCCCAACATGGGCTGAGAGCCTGCAACCACCAGGAACCACAGTGTGACGGAAAACAAGCTGTGGGACCATCAGCAGGGGACAGGGCCAGAGAGAAAACCTCGAAGCCCGGGTAGGCAGCTGGTCTGGGGATAGCAGACACCACAATTTGCAGCCAAGAAGGAGGCTGAAGTCCTTCCTCCCGAGGAAGGCAGAGCCCTGGGGAAGGTAAAGAGAAATTCAGGTGTGGCGGGCACTGGGGCCTCAGGGAGCTGAGTCTTGGGTCGCCTGCACAGAGATGGAGCCTGAGAATCTGAACAAAAGTTCCTCTGTAAAATTCAACGGAGGCTGTGAGTCTCCAGCTTACCTGGACTCTCCTGCTCCCTAACTCAGTTAGAGACATGGGACAGGACAGCTGGCTGAAGCGCCATATGCCTGGCTGTTTAATTTGGCACTTGGTTCTGCCTTCAGCCAGGCAGTCACATTGCTCAAAAAGAAGATGAATGGAGTGAGTGTTCACGGGGCCTGAGGGGCCAGGGCTGTGCCACAACCCCTAAGGTCTCCCGGTATTGCTGCAAAAGTGGCAATTTAGGGACTACCCAGGGCTTATCATCCACCAAGCTCCAGTTGGGAGCCACAGGCCTGGTGGTGGCCCTGCTGCTAGCAGGGTGCTTGGTGGCGCAGTTTTCCATCTTCCCCATAGCAGGGCAGGGGTGCCCTAGAACCCAGGCAGCTGAGACCACACAAGCTGTCTGAATCTCCATCTTGCAGGAGCCATTCATTACCTGCTTTGCCCAGCTGGCCACCTGGCCTTGAGCCTCATTCTCCCTAGAGGGTCTAGATTTACCGTTCAGCTCAGCATACAGAAAGCCTCCCCAAGGGCCAAGTGACATATGGGTCTACCACCATCACTCTCTTGGTGACCTGGCTCCTCTGCTGGAAGCTCTGTGCCCCAGCAAGGGGAGGCTGTGTCAGAAGTCAGAGAAGCAGGCAGTCATAATGCTGAGGCCTTCGACACAAGTCAGGATGAAGAGGAAAAAGACACAGGCAGAGCTCAGATGGCCTTCATAGTCCTGCACCCTGTCCCTCTAGGCTCCCAGGGGAACCCAGGGTGGCAAAGGAGGAGGTCCACATGATTGTCCAGCCCTTTCCCCTTGCTTCTCCCCTGACAAAACTGAAGCCTCATCCAATATCATGGAATATCCAAGGGCAAAAGGGACTGGGAGGTGGTGTGCAAATGTGGCCAGTGACTAAAACACTTAATCACAACACATTACACCCCATGGGCTTCTAGGCTATGGTTTGGATGGGCAACCTGGTGGCCTCAAGCACAACTTCCCAAGTCTGTAGAAGGAATCAGGAGAGCAGGGACATCTTATCTCTCCACGGTATGTGAGTCCCAAATGGCAGACCCCTTCCCTCAGACTCTATAAACTCTAGCTTTTGTACAGTTCCAAGCTCTGGGCACACCCCTGCCACCTCCTCTGTTCCAAAGGTGCATCATGGCACTTGGCATACAGTCAGTGTCCAATATGTTCATGTTTGTGAAAGCCAGTGTGGGAAGGGGGAACACAGAGACAGCCACAGTGCTCACAGCAGGTAAGCCAGGGACATCGGGAGTAGAGGTGGCATCTTCAGGTACCATGGGCCTCCATGCAGGCAAACACCCAGCTATGAGTACAGAACACTAATAACCTTCCTTGCCCTCTTGGGCAGCAGGAGAGGACTCCAAAAGAGAGGGTGGAGGAGGCTCATTCCGCCTAAAACTTGTCCACACCAAGATGTTTCCCAGTGATTCTCAGCACCCCACAAGGCGGGTCCCTCTTAGCCAGTGAGCTCTGCATGCTCCGTGACACAGATGTGAGGTTCACACTTCGAGAAGTCCTACCATTGGGCACAGTAAACAGACTGCTCACTGTCTAGCTTTCCCTTCATCTGTGGCTTGCTCTCTACCAGAATGGTGGCTCTCCATGCCCTCCCCTCATACCACAGGAGCCAGGCCAGGGCCCATCCAAAGGAAGACAGACAGTGGCTGTCTCCTACATGATAGACAGGCAGTTACTTGTTCCATAAGCACAAGAGACTGGAAGTGCATCCAATTAATTATTCACGCCATTCATTATTGAAAAGGTCGCTACCTGGGAGCTGCTCTAATAGTGGCTAACAAGCTCATCTGTACCTCCTAGGAGAAGCAGCAAAGGTTCATGGTATGCCTACTATGCGCAGGCACCCTCAGAATAACCCAAGAAGGGGTACACAGTCCTGACTTCTCACGAGGACTGGAAGATTGAAGGATGACAAAACAGTCTGAGATTGCAGTCCTGGGAAGTGACAGAGACTAGGCTTGTGCTGGTCAGTCACCCACAAAGCCCAGTGGTCACTGTGCTAGGAAGTACAGGTCACACAGGTAAGAGGGCTCAAGATGACCTTGTAGCCTGGGCTCTTGGCTGTGACCCCCAGGGATGCTGTGCTCAGAGTCTGAGTACCCAGAGTCTGTGCCTACATCTACTGCCTAGGCCCCCAAGACTCTGTCCACCCAAGACCCTGGGCCAAGGAGCAGGCCATGCCTGTCTCTGTCACTGGGTCGGTTGGCCCCAGGACCCATCTGCTCTCAAAGTCCTTAGCTCTGGGCAGCAATACTGGCACTCTCTGCAAGGAGCAGGCCATGCCTGTCTCTGTCACTGGGTCGGTTGGCCCCAGGAGCCATCTGCTCTCAAAGCCCTCAGCTCTGGGCAGCAATACTGGCACTCTCTACCATCACCATCACACTGGAGTATAGGGCAGAGATGACAGCTGCCCAGATGAGACCAGACCTGGCCATCCCCAAAGACAAGTCCTTGATATGTCACCTCTCTTCCAATATCCTTCCGTCTTCTGAGCCTGTCCGAATCACCTCCAGGTATGTACAGAAAAGGAACTAAAGATCAGGTTTGCTTCCTGGCCTCATGCTTAAAACTCCCCTAATCCCCGACAAGCTTTCTTTTCTTTTGACCAAACCACAAAAAAACAAAACAAAACAAACAAACAAACAAACAAAAAAAAACACTTGAAAAGTCATCCAACTTCCCCTTCCAAAAAAAAACAAAACAAAACAAAACAAAACAAAACAAAACAAAAAAAACCACTTGAAAAGTCATCCAACTTCCCCTTCTACCTTGGCAACTAGGAAACTCAAGTGACAACCTGTCCTTTTGGCTTCTCCTCTAGACACACATGTGCCAGCATCAGTGGCTTCTAGTACTCCTTGGCAAACAGTAAGGACAGCAAACAGCCTGGTCACTCATGACCTGAATGAGCAGCAGTAATAGTATTAAGTCCACCCAAGCTGTTATTGCAAACACTCACCAGGCAGATGAGCTTTGGAAGGCCATCAGGGGTGGACTGTGTGTGTCTCCCCGAAGCGTGTGCACAGCCTGAGGGGCTTGCGGCAGGACACCAGGGGGAGGCTGTGGAGCTGGCTGTCCAGGCCGAGGTGCCTGAGCAGGATTCCCCCACCGCCGGGGGTCCTGTTTCATCCACCGTCCGTGGATGCCCCACCGGGTCAGGTAAACCTTGCAAATGTCATAGTTCATGGCAGAATAATAGAGCAAATCCAGGACCAAGAGGGTAAGCACGAAGAAGCCGTAGATCCACACTCCAAGCAGTGCTGTGTAGTTGCTGGAGAAGGAGAAGCAGAGACTGAGCCACACTCCCAACAGCACCAGCATTCAACACAGGTTGACAGACATTACAGGCATTCAGGTGTCCACCCATACCTCACCCTACTTCTCCCTGTGTGTGCCCTGGCTCCCTGCTGGCTTTGTGCATACCACAACTGCCCCAAGGCACTCCTATTCCATCCCTCCTGGCCTCACTCCCAAGGGCAGAAGCTGGAGGCCTTGCGACAAACTAAACCAGGTCACACCACATGTGCCTCAGAACCCTATGCTACCCGCCCTCTGAGGGGTGCTGCTATACCTCCAGCCCATTTGCAGGGGTGCTACACTTCCAGGCCCACTGCAGAAATCCCTTCCCAGTTGTCTGTGATTCCCACATCAGCTCAGCACCCACCTTTGCTAAGGTCCTTTCACTCTGATCCCAGGGAAACCTTAATCTCCTCCATTCACAACTTTTTATTATCATTATTATTATTATTTGGGGGGAGGGGTTGAAGCAGGGTTTCTCTGTGGCTTTGGAGGCTGTCCTGGAATTCGCTCTGGAGACCAGGCTGGCTTCAAACTCACAGAGATCTGCCTGCCTCTGCCTCCCAAGTGCTGCGATTAAAGGTGTGCGCCACCACCGCCTGGACATTATTCACAGAGATCCGCCTGCCTCTGCCTCCCAAGTGCTGCGATTAAAGGTGTGCGCCACCGCCGCCTGGACATTATTATTTTTTTTTAAGATAGGGCCTTATGAAGCCCAGGCTGGCCTTGAGCTTGCTATGTAGCCAAGGAACCTCCACTTCTAGAGCGTTGGGATGACAAGTGCTTGGTTTGTGTGGTGATGGGAATGGAATTTGGGGCTTCAGGCATGCTAGGAAAACACTCTACTGGCTGAGCCACATCTCTGGCCTCTATTTCCATCACACAACATTTTCCCCATAGAGGCTGCAGTTACCCTGCAGAGGTAGCAAGAGCCCTTAGGACTTAGCACTTCAGATGCTCTCAATCTGTGGCAAGCCCTGATGACTCTTTACAAGTTGGCTGAACACTGAAGCGCACATCTGGCCATTCCCAGCCCAGGACCTTTGCACAGGCCACGCCCTTTTCCAGGTAGACTCTTCCACACCCTCTTCCCCTTTGCCCAGCTGTTTGTGGCACCCTCATTTGAGACTCTTCCTGCCCCCAAGCCTTCATTAAGCCCAACCTCTCCTCTAGTCCCTATCACCTGGCATATCTGTCCCCCTAACACCCCATCCCCCAGGTTGGGGACTTAGTCCTCTAGAGTAGGCTAGTTCCAGGTTTGCCACTGAAGCTGGGTTGCTGAACTCCTGATAGCACCCACCAGGGACTGGGGCTGTTTAAACAGGCTGTTTAAACAGGAACTGGTTTATCAACCGCTCAAGTGACACCCACCTCAGTCTGTCCCGTCATGGGCATCTGCTTGAGTGGGTGTGGGCCAGCCAGGGTGTCCAGAAGAGACTGAGCGGCCTAACACAAGCAAGCTGGATATCTCCACTCCAGGGAGACCTGTGGCTCTGTCCTGACCCATCTGGAACTGGGGCTCCTGCCTGCCTAAGCTAGGAGCCTTGGCCTGTCTGCTTTGCTGTGTGGTCTATGAGAAACCCTGCCCATCTCTGGTTCTGTAAGCTACAGCCTTAAGTCTCTCCTCAACTTAGATTCCCAGCTCTGTATCTTCCAAGGCTGGTTCTTAGTTCCAGCTGTGGCCTCAGATGGTGAGATGGTGGCTATCGCCTACCCAGCCCTGCCAAAACAGAAGCAAACCCAATAAGCCCACTTTCATTCTCTACTCAGGGGAATGTTTTCCAGCTGGCCAAGTTCTTGGCCTGAAGACTTCCCCTGGGAGTCAGGGCAATGGGGAGGGGCGGGGCTAATGGGGAGGCTCTGCTATGCTATGGAGCCTGGCAGCTTCAAGACAGGTGCTCAGGACTCAGTACCACTCCATACCTGGGCTCAGTCAGTACCACTCAGTGCAGAGACCCCAGCAAATCCTAAATACCGGAAATCTTAGCTCCTTCCTGCAACCCCACCTCTCTGCCAAACCCCACAAAGGTGTGAATGACTGACAGTCAAGCCCCGGGCCTTTTATTAATGGACACTAGCTTTGTCTGGAAGTGTCAGGGCACAGCAGAAAATGCCTGGCAGAGACAAAAGGCCAAGAGTCCAACTCAGCCCTTCCAGGCTGGAGTCTCACGGGAGACAGATGTCTAGGCAGGCTCTGGTCCCAGGCACCCAGCTCTCCCCAGATTTCTCTCTCTTGCAGCCCCCATGGCAGGGCTCTGAGAACCAGGCTGTTCCTGGTGGTTCCCATGGCAGCAGCCTGGGGGCTGAGGAGGCGGTGAGGGAGCAGGGCCATTCTCTGCAGATGCTGCTTGGCACCCAGAGCAAGAGGGGTGGTGGCCCTGCCTGAAGCTAGGAACACTCCAAAAGTGAACAGAGGGCAAGGGGCAGTTGCAGGTCCCTCTGCTCTGCATAGAGCCAAGAAGGAAGGAAATGGACCTCTCATGCCTAAGAGGGAATATGGGCAGAGAGAGACACTACTGGGGGACCGAAGTCTACTCTAAGACCCCCCACTCATGTCAGCAGTACCAGGACCAAACCCAATACAAACAGCTCCAGAGGTATCCCACCCAAGCCTTAGGCACCAAGCCACCCCACCTACATGCATCTCTGCTGAGATCAACTCCTTACCTGGTGTGCACTGAGCAGACCCTGGGGCCAGCTCCAGAGGTATCCCACCCAAGCCTTAGGCACCAAGCCACCCCACCTACGATGCATCTCTGCTGAGATCAACTCCTCACCTGGTGTGCACTGAGCAGACCCTGGGGCCGGGTTACAGCTTGGCCACAGGAAGTCTCCTGGAGCTTCATATGGGTCTCAACATCACCAGGTTTTGGGGGTCACTCTGTGGCCTGTTTTCATTTGTTAATACTGTTGCCCCGTGATACTGGGGACTCCCTGAGGGCAGGCAAGGATCAAACTTGTCCTTGCATGCCCAACACAGTGTTGTAGTGCAGACACAGCGAGAACTGAGGATGGGCAGGACATGAGTGGATGTGGCACTGCCCAGCGCTGGCCAGGTGTTCTAGTTGTGTGAATGACCAATGGTAAAGAGGGACACTTCCAGTTCTGAGCCTATGCTGCATGCCCTGGTCTCAGAGTGATGACCCCATTTTCCGGATGAGCCCCCAAAGGGGCAGTCACATGCCAACACTCACAGTGATTAATTCACTTCTGTTTTATAGAAGTGGAAACTGAGGTTCTTCTCCCCAAGACTACGGAAAATGAATTTTGAAGAGTTGAAATTGGGTCCCAGGGGTTCCTACCATCAGAGCCCGTGTGTCTCCATTGTAAGGCTGACTGGGACACTTCCACAGTGTTCTGCATTTGTGCTTCATGGATGAAGTCTGCAGGGGCTGTTCCCATTCCCAGGCAGCCAACCCAACCAGCAGGCCAGGGATGCTGCAGCCAGGGTCTTCCTGCTCTGACTGACAGACTGGGCCACTGCTCCTATGACTTCTTTGTGGGGATGGGGAATTCCACATCAGGCCAGGAGTTTGGAGCCAGGTCCCTACAACCTCAGACTGTGCTGAATCCTGGGAAATCCCAAGGTCAAATCTAAGCTAGACGTTAGAGAGGGAGTCCCTGGCTTCTGTGCTCTCACCCTGACTCCACCTGTATAGGGTTTAAGAACAAGCCCTGTCCTGTCTCCCCTGAGCATTCTGCCTAAGGAAAGGTCTCTGTTCCTCCTGTGTGCATGGCTTGGCCGTAGGCCTCTGCAGCAGGACAGTACCCCCCCCCCCCATGCCTGCCTGTTTATTTCCACTTCTACAGAAGGTGCTGCTTACAGGGAACATGCCCTGTGTGTGGCGGGTGGGGTGCTAGGACTGCAGACCTCTCTGCAACAGCTTGCAGCCCCCAGGCCATGCCCTCCAAGGTTGCCAGCTGCAAGGATTTCAGTCTTTAATTTTTAAAATGTAATTTGAAATATGCAATCTGGAAATTAAATGCATCCAGATGCCAGGCCCCAGCTCATGCCTGCATGGAGGGAGAAGATAAAAGACAGAGGCTGCGGTGGGGCTTCTGTGACCGCCCAGCCTCAGACAGTGGTGGGCGCCTGTGCGGGACTGTATGACTCAGCTTCCTTGGGGTTTCCAAAGTGATAATAGACCTTACCGCTGGAGGTTCTGTCTGTGGAGCAGAGTGGCTATGTCAGCAGCCACCAGCAGACAGCTGCAGCATGGCCTGGCCTGGAACTCCCCATCCCCACCATGAAGTCATGGGAGCAGTGGCCCAGTCTGTCAGTCAGAGCAGGAAGACCCTGGCTGCAGCATCCCTGGCCTGCTGGTTGGGTTGGCTGCCTGGGAATGGGAACAACCCCTGCAGACTTCATCCATGATGCAGGACCTCAGAACACACTGTGGAAGTGTCCAGGTCAGCCTTACAATGGAGATAGACAGGTTCAGCAGGTGGGAACCCCTGGGACCCAAATTCAGCTTTTCAAAATTCACTTTCCATAGTCTTAGGGAGATGAACCTCAGTTTCTGCTTTGAAGTAACCATGAGGCTTCGCCAACTGACATGAGGTCCAGGAAAGAGAAGGGACCTTGGAAGCTGCAGCCAGTAGAGTTTTTTTTCTGGAGTGCTCGAAGCCCTGGGTTTTATTCCCAGTACCACATAAAGGGTTCATGTTTGCATATGTCTGTATTCTCAGCACTTGGAATGTGGAGACAGGAAGATTAGGCATTCAAGGCCATCCTTGGCTACATAGAGAGTTGGTAACTAGCCTGGGCTACATGAGACCCTGTCTCAAATAAAACAGAAAGAGACAGAGAGGAAACCAATGAGGGCAAGCTTATGCGAAGCACAGAAGAAGTAGTAGTGCACACTTGTGACCCCAGCACAAGGATCTTCGAGTTCATGGCTAGCCTGGGCTACACAATGAGACCCTGTCTCTAAACAGTCACAAATAAAAACCACAGAGAATGTACTTAATAGG